AACTATTACCAGATCCACCGCGATGAGGGACTTGTCCACCGTGTTGAGGATTTTGGGGAATCCATTGATTAGGGTTTTGCGGAACTCTTTGGTGATTGTTCGTCGGAGGTGGATATGGCCGTTGTGACGGAGGATGAGGTGCGACGGACTGAGGATTCTGGTAATGATCCCTTGAGGCGGCGGAAGTGCTGAGGTTTCTGGTGGCGAGTGAGGTGAAGGGGGAGTGAGGGGAAAGCCGAGGAAAAGAAGAACGTACTTGAAAAAGAGAACCTATCGTCACAATCTTCTGGGTTTGTGCGCAGCGAATCGCCATTAGAGACGACATTTCTGTGAAATCTCAGTCTCTTTCGTTTTGGATTAGAAATGGTGAAAAGGCAAACCCTGAGAAAACCCAAAACCCTAGTCTCGATTTTTCTTTTATCTTTTTACAAATTTTTATTTAAAGATATTTCTCTATTTTATTTTTAATTTCTCTACTACAACAAATAAACGATTCCACGACGGAATATTACAAAAATCTAGTACAATAGACGTTTTGATCATTTGTTGCAGGGTCTTATTGGCTAATAACCAAAAACAAAAGAAATTAAAAAGTTAGAAAAAATAGGTATGTGGCAAATTGTATACTATTGGATTTAGGGTTTTGAGTTAGTTTTTAAATTATATTTTTTTGTTGTATTGTTGGCAAATTCTCCTTTTGTTGTATTGAAAAATCAAACTTTAAATCTTTTTTTTTGTCATCTAATGGTATATTATAATGAAAAAGTACACAATCCATACGAAAGCGGACTAGAACGCAGGGGAAAAGGGCAACATAGCAAAGAACCAACGATCAAGTAGCCATACTATAGACACCGGAAAACAGAGACAACAGCGACGCCAAGACAATAATAAAATGACCATCGAGTCCAAATCAAGCTCTGCAACCAAACAAACGCAAAGACCACTACAATCGCCTGGGGCAAAAATTAGCACATCTTTTCGACCAAAAGAACCCTAACTCATACAAACCTTACACAAGACTAAAACACAAAACTCCACAACTAGAGCTCAAACAAATCCAAGAGATCAAAACCTGAGTCAAGAGAAAACCGAAATTACCCGATGAGAAGAAAACACGCATACGAACACAAAAAGCATACAACTTCATCAGGCCACCAACAACAAACCAGAGGATCCACGAGAATGGAACTGAACCACAAAAGCCAGACTACAACACACTTATCGACGAGCCTCCATCACCAATTGAAGAAAAGAGACTCAAGATCAAATGGGGAACCGCCACGCAGATCTCGAACCTAGCCAACTAGCAAACACAGATCCAACCAGAACAGCTCACGACCTCACCTGACCCAAAGCCTCCACAAACAATAGCCAAACCCTTTCCAATCGGAATCCAACACTTAACCCTATCCAATCTCACGAACATAAGCAACTCATAGCCTTAAGAGCCCACAAATAAACTAAATCAACCCAAAGAAGAAAGTAGGAAACAAAAGTTACGGGTCCGGTACCGACGCTATCGAAGCCGCCGGTCACCGGACGAAGATCGGAGAAATTTTTGAAACCAGA